TACTTAAAGCCCACCTTCAGCATGTATTAAAAAACGGGAGGGAGTGAAGGAAGGACAGAGAAAAGAAGGGAGGGTAAAAACCTAACCTTGACAATGGATTAGTTGTTGATGTGCTGAGACCACTGCCTGTACTACAGGCTAATACTGTCTCATTGTTTTCTCATACTCCCCCCATCTGTTTACATCCATCTGCTGTCCCTTGTTTTATATTTGGAATTTTAGTGTTTTGGAGCAGGGACTGACTTTTTGTTCTGTGCGGGGAGAAATCCCGCTTCTGTGGGGCTTGGCTCAAGACAAATACTTATACATGCTACAATGATACAGCAACATATATAACTGATAACAATATAGATAAAAAACACAAAAAAAATAATTATATTCTGTGAAGCTGAAAAAGATGATCCTTAATGCTTCAGCATGATGGCAAGTCTTTTATTTACAATACTCTGAATTAAGTCTTTTTGCCATTACAACTAGTTTGCACTTTGTCCCCACATGCAAAGCAGGAGAACGAAAATAGATTTCTGCACTTCATTGTTGGGGCTTGTATGGGGTTTAGCTTGTTTTCACAGAAAAATCATACATCCTTCTCTGTCTTTCATGCAAACACCCCAAGTTTATTATGCAACTGAGTGTATCACATCAGCATAAAATCTCTCAGACCTGGCTATAAACTTCAACCTGCCTTGCTCATACCAGGCCCTATTGAAAGATAACTGGAAATTGCAGTATGCTATATTGGTGTCTAAGAAAGCACTGCCCATTAAAATGGAATGATGAAACCACGGAACTGATTTTCATTCATGACCCAAGCCGATAACTGCATCCAAACTTTGAAGTCGTGGCAAAATATCAACTATACCACCTAGAAATCCTTCATGAAGTAATATGAAAGTCTCCTAAAGAAAACTACTGGTCTAGTTTTCCAAAACTCCAAAACATTTCCCCATCCAACACAGACAGTAATATTGGTTATACACATTAGAGTTCAAATTTCCATAGATGCATTTGCATATGCAATGTGTTACACAGATTGCCATTTTTTCCCCATAAGTATTTTCAGTGTTTAATGAATATTATTCAATTGTACCGCAATTATTTTGGCATGAAATCTACGCTGTAATTGTAAGTATCTACAGTTACATGCTTATCTCTGGGTTCATGTCATCCAGTGTTGTGACAATTAAAAAAACCTGGGACCTTAAACTTAAATCTCATTGAAAAGTTAATTATGGAGTCACACACAAGGTCCTATCTAATGCCGAAGTATTCTGATGCCTAATTTAATCTCACTTAAAACATACATATCTATTTTCCCACCCATTTCTTTAGAAAGTGCCTTCAGAATTCCTTATAGCCCTAACATCACTCCCCTGAAACCTTTCAATATTCATGTTTTGAAGATTTTTAAATCCTCAAAATAATAAAACCTTGTCTGCTGCCCACTGAAATATTAAGACTGGAATCCTCAACTGAGAATAGCCAAGGTGCATTGATAAGCATTTCTGCAGAGAAGAAAAAAAAAGGGTGGGTTATAAGAGGTCACCTTTTCACAGTAACTAAAATTTGTTTTCTCTTTTCAAAGACAAGAAAAAGGGTATCTGTAGCACAGAGTGCTTAGAAAGCACTATCTTTCAAGACAGGAAAGAAATTCCAGGTGACATCATTTCTGGCCAAAGCTCAAAGGCTACTGTGAAGGGATACAGCTCTTCCCAATTATTCCCCACGTAAAGATCAAAATGAAGGCAAAGGGCCAATTCTTCTTCCTCATCCCAAATGTGCTATGTGATTACCTACATACTCACTGCATATGTGAGAAGTATTTTTTACCAGTAAAGCCACAAATGCTCCTTAAATAGAACTGAAGTAGAATTCTTCCCCACTCTGCTTCCCCTAATAATGATGATAATCAAAGACTGAAGTGGTTCACACAAAGCAACACTGGACAAGACAAAAACAGTGTTGTGAGACCATGTTGATGGGGGGGTGTGGGGGGGGTGTGGGTGTGTCACTGAGGGTATACCTCCTGTCACCCAGAGTACTAGTTTTGTTCCAAAGAAGTATAATGGAGTTTTAAAAGCCAGATATTTTTTTTTCCCCAGGCCTGTTCCTATACAGATAAGTTATACCAGCAGAATCCAGATTTTTAAACTGGTTCTGGCTGCATAAATGCCTAAGCAAAAGCAATTTACATTAACATATTTTCTTTTGCAGCTGAAGTGGGCTAGGAATGCACACCCACTCAGTTACCGTGACTCAATCAGGACATCTCTTTAAGCTACAATAGCTTGATTACTTGCAACTGCTTGTCTCTACCTGAAAAGAGCTGAACTGATTTTGAACCAGCCAGTTCAAGAAAGCTCACATTTCTAAATTTACCTCTGCAAACCAGTATCAATAAGTTTTAAGCTTCTGCAGTAAATTTCCCACCATTATATCACCTTCTTTTACCTTTAAAAGACATATTTATATCTTTAAAGATATATATAGCACTGGAAGCACTGTTAGATGCATTTAAAATAATTTCTTTCTCTCTGGCCTTCCTGTCATTCATGATGGAGTAAGCAAACAACACAAGACCAGGGAGAGAGTAATGCTCAGGTGTGGGACTTTAACTAGTTTGACAGAGCTGGATATAAAAGTTTTAAACTACAGAACAAATATCAAACAAAGCAGAGCTGTGCAAACTTTCCAGTGTTCAACTCCATCAGTACTACAAAAATAATGCCACAGCCTTGGCCTTTTCTGCTTAAATAACAAGCTGCAAGCAAGAGCCAAAGATGTCTATCATTTGGAGAACAGAAAGTAGACTGAGACCACACTCTCACTTTACAGATAGCTACAAAGATTACATGAAGATAGGACTGTAAAGACATATCTTTAAGTCCCTGCCAACCTAATCAAGATGGTATTAACAGTGATCTCACACTCCATCTGCCTGGCTAGTAATTTATGAAAAATGTACTTCACTATTACAGGAAAAATATGTTGCACTGCTTGTGGCCACAAACCTACTGCAGCAGCTCAGGAACTCTTGGATCAGAGGCCATGTGACCAGTTCTTGACATTTACCAGGTACTGCCCATGATATCCGATTCATTCACAGTGATTTTGTTTGCCCTACTCATGACCTCAACTTCAGACAGACAAAATATATGACAAAATACTTACAGTCCCTTGCAATTTACAGTGCAATATCATACTGTTTTTGTTTTACATCTTGTGCATTCTACATAGGTACCTCACTTATCTTCATGGGATTCTTTTTATGAGTGAAAAATCTCCTTATTCTTGCACTATTCAGCAATTATTTCTGTTTCAATTACTCCTTTTCTTGCCAGGAAACCTCATCTTGCTTACCAAAAGTGTATTTCTTCAATTAATATTACATGACTGTTCCTTTAGCTTGTATTGCCTAAGAATCAGACCTATGGCACTTGCTAGTTGCAGAAAGGATTTTTTCATTTGTTCAGCTGGGTGGAGGAATGGGTGGGTAATGGTGGTGATGGTGTCATTGTGGAAAACAATATGAATCCTCCAATTTCCATCAAGGCAAAGTTTAGGGGCAGCATTTTAATACCAGAATTACATAAAATGACCTTTGGGTATCAAAATAACAAGAGTGATAAAACAAACAAACACACACACCAGTATCAACACACTCTAATTGTTAATTACTCATTTCTTCACTTAGCAGAACTACCATTTGGATCAGCTTCCTAGCTGCTGCAGCAAAGAAATAAATGATATGCAACGAAGAACATGGTAAAACAGGACAAAAAAAAAAAAGCCTGCTGTAGTTCTACAGTAGTTCTTTCTGCTGCACACTGGAGAAAAAGTATCTAGGAAAACACTAACTGCAATAAATTAGTAGGTTAAGATATTCAGAGCAATAACTAAGGAGTTACAACCCATGATCTAGTCAATTCCTACTCATATGAGCAACCTAAAGATATCACTGCTTTTTATGCTGAATAGCAAAAAAGGCGAATGAGCATCTATTATTATTAGAAGACTTGCATGCTCAACATCATTTGCAAGACTTCTGTCACAATCAGAATATGCAGTTTTCCTCCTCTAGCTGTGGGAGAAGACATGGGCTTGGAGCATGAGATTATTTTCTTAACAAATAAAATACACTGATTACTTTGTATACCCCTCTACAAAACTAAACACCCTCATTTATTATACTGCAGTATACTAATGCAATTTTGAAAGAAACTGCGTAAATCTTCCAGTGTTCCTTTGAAAGTTTCTAGCTATAATATCCACAACTCATATACAGGAGGATTTTTTGCACTGTTTTATGCCCCCCCCCCCCAATCATTCCCTTCATTTCTGTGCAGAAACACTTATCTACTAATCTCACTTTGCCAGATCAAAAAAAGCCCTACAGATTTATCTTCCAGAAACATTCTTGGAAAACAAGAAATCAAAATGTCTTCACTTTATCCAACAGATACACACTTTGTAGCTTTGCTAATATATGCAAATTGTCTGATTGCTTGAAATTACTGATTAACCAGGCTGGAGAGCTGATTACCTGATTATCCAAGAGAAAAATAATTTAGCATGATTTTGTGTCATTTGACAGTCTAGATAATTTTCTAATTAATTTGAGTTTTCAAGTGAATTCAGAGATACTACTGAAAAGAGAAAAGAGGTCAATGATCAGGATAAAAGTAAGCTTTCCAGGAATTTTCTTCTTACAGTAATAGTTTGTCAAGTGTTATTGTTAGTTACAGACACTTCAGACACATACATGGACAAAAATGAGAACTCAGACTTAAAAAAATATTCAAAATCTAACCCTGAGCAAAATCTTCAGTGCTCTGGTAAAGATATCTTGTATAGCTGGACATAAGATTAGTGGTGCACTAGTCTGACACATGGCATCAAACTTGCAGTGTTACCAATAAATTCTGAGCTACACATGAAGCAATATGTAGCAGATATTTTGTCAATATGCTGAGAGAATAATAAATACTGGAAATACGTACTTGCCACTGAAAAGTTGTTGAGTGGATATGGCAGATCCACATCCTGGGGCTTCTCCTTATAGCCTATGAAAGAGCCATCTGTCTTTAGCAGGAAATATCTTGGCCGCCAGTTTTTTATATATTCTCCTAAAGGAGAAAAAAAATATTCATTAATATTGTAGAAAAAAACCCACTTTGATATTAAAAAACATAACATATTATCAGTGTCTAATATTAATTACACCAAAATCTCTTCAGACATTTTCAATTTACAGAAATTTTAACTCCCTACAAAATGGAACTGCAATGGTTAGCCTGGACTACACAATAATGCCTCTGGAATAAGAAGCTAGAAGTACTGTACTGTAATATTCTGTAATTCTAAATTTTATCACACTATCCTCTTCAAAATCCTACATCTTCACACGTATAAACACTTTGAAATTTGCTGCAGGCAAAAATAAGTACTACAGCTTGATTTTTAATGGCAAAATGAAATCAAAACTATGACAAGGCAGAACATTTATCCTGCTGAGCCACAGCAAAACCTATTAATTTCCTCAAATCATACACTAAACAAATACAAGAAAATTTTGGTTAGTAGGAGAACCTACACAAAATATACTTAACAAATATATCTGAAAGCAGAAATAAAAAAGAAAAGGCATATTGAATTACCTTCTAAGAGGTAAGTCCCCCAACAAACTCACCACCTCCGCCTTACCCCTACCCCAGTCTGAGCAGAAGATTCTGCAAGCCATGAAGTATTCAGGCAGAAAGAAACATACATAACAGACCAGCAAAGATGTAATAGCTTCATTATTGCCACTTATTTGCTATTTAAGGTGGAAAAAAATGATCTCTTTAATAGCATTATACTTTACAATGCCACACCAAATTCACAACAATTTCATTTATATAGCTCAATTACTCAGTTAAGTACAGGTGAGTTCATATCTGTTCGACTTTCTCTCTCTTTGATTTCCATCAACTATGCAGAGTAAATAACCTATGCACAAGTACTTACTAAGACTTTAAATAAGCCAGTTTCATCATTATACAATTGAACATACTAAGAAAAAAAGTGTATTAACAATGCAGAATTTGCAACCGTGCCAAGGACTTCTCACCGTTTGCAAAACACTTAGAACAGACCACTCCAGCACCCCGTTAGCTGTAGCTACTTAGCCTGTATACAGTTCAAAGGTCAGAAAGAAGTTTACATCCATCTGACACAAAGATTACTCCATTGAAGGCTAATCTAAAAATTCATTAATCCCATATTTACCTTTCTATGAGACGAATCAATTAATTGACACTGAAGTTCAACATGGGAATTGTTAATACGGCCTAGCTGAACTCGATCACAACCTGTAAAGATTTTAACGCTGCCCATGGGTTAAAAAATCTAACTAAAGCCATTTACACTTCTGATTTCCAACATGTATTTATGCAGAGAAGTGGGGTAGGGAGTAGCAGAAGAGGAAAAAGAAAAATTAATACCAGGTTATTCATGCTGAAATGTATCTCTTGCCCCTCAGAAGCCAAACTCTTCCTATTTAGTCCTGCTTCTAGATAGCAGGATATTTACTTCAGGGTTTTTTTGGTTGTTGTTTTTTTTTTTTAATCTATTCATGGAAGTAGAAAGAAAATTGAAAATGTTACTTAATTTGACCACAAAATTTATAGAGCAAATATAACACCTGTTACATTTGTATTGACTCAGAGTTGTCTATCTCAGTTCTCTGGGGCTAGTTCAGCTGGAAACATCCCTACCGACACTGTCAACCTGAACTGATTTCACAATGGGAAATCCCAGCTAACATAAATGCAAACAAAACAAACAAACAAACAAACAAAAAGCCACCACCAAAAAAAAACAAAATGAACAAACAAGCAGAAAAAACAGGCATGACAGTTTGTAAGTTGGAGAACAAATACAAGTGCAGTATGGGAGAACAAATACAAGTGCAGTATGGGAAAACAAATGTGTAACTTTAATACCAACAGGGAAAAACACATGATCATTACATGAAAAAGACATTTTTTGAATTAAGTTTGCCAAAAACTTGAAAATGAAATAATCATAGGCTTAAGCAAAGGTATGACTCATAGTAAAGAATATTTAAAAAATGCCCTATGACAAATTTGCTGAAATCTGCATGAACTCTAAAGTTGAAGCCAAAACAAAACCTTATGTATGAGATCACCCAATGTAAGTTTTAAAAATATTAACATCCTTGTTACTTTCTTGAACAGACCATAAAGAGACTCTTCTGTACAATTCTAATAAATTATATCTTACTTAGTTGGAACAGTAAGAGAAAGTGCCTGTTCCTAGGTTTAAAATCTACCAAGATCTCAGGATTCTCTCGAAGGTGAATTAAATGGTAGGCAGGCATCTAAGACTACTGAAGAGTTCAAGGACAGCATGGAGAGAATACCAACATGACTAAAACAGGTCAGCCATCCAACAGTTGAGGTGTCAAAAACAGTGCTCCTTTCTGTAAGGAATAAACTGTACAGGCTCTGTTCTAAAAATCAGGGCTGATAGGGTAAATACACTTCTTAGTCAGTTCAAGAAAGAACATAACACTTCATTTACTCACATACACACTCTTCAGAACTAAACCTGTAGAAAAGGAGACGCTTCTAGCAGGTGCTGTTAGAGACCCACACCAGTGGACATTTCCCTGATCACTCAATCCCTCTTCTCTTAGGACAACATTTAGATTGTATTTGGCTTCTACTAGGTACTCAAAGACTCTTAATCAGAAAAGGGAACAGATTTTTTATCATCTACTAAGTTATGTAGCTGATGATCTGCCTGGAGAAAAAACATTAGAAGAGTATGACTAGCACTTCCAAGCTTCTCTGAAGGGAGCTGGTGACTTTGGAAAAAAGCTAATCACAAGAAGATATAAATATTGAATGACATATGAGTACCAGTTTTCCCGTGCGCACAGCTGTACCTCTGTCTTCACCCTGCAAATCACAGCCAGGCAGAGGAGATGTAATTTAAAAGCAATTGCAAAATACTATGTCTTCATAAGGATCTAAATATTTCTTTCACAGATTTATTTCTTTGAAGAATGTTTCTCCTAAGCACTTCCCCAACACGAATCACAGTCAGACTTTTTCAAGACATCTGTACAAACACACACATACACCAAACCCCTAGTTTTGTCTTGAAATGACCGATATTCCAATATCTCCTGATGGCCTATATGCATGAATATTTATCATTTGCTCTTTATTTATTTTGTAATTTAATTAACAAATGGGAGAACACTTTCGAAGACTAAAGTAAACAGTTATATCAGTGAACAGTTCACTTAGCTGCTCAAGTGGTTTAATGGCTCTCAAGATGCACTCTAGGTGCTCTCATACAACTGCATTCCTTCTACAGATCTCCTTAAAGACAGAATAACATTTTAGCCCATACTTCTTAATAGACATCTGGTTATGGAACTGCTCTGAAAGAGAAATCCTCCATACAAAAAAAAATTTTAAAACACAGCAGAGTATTGGAAAAAGAAGAAACTTCCACGTCTTCTAACTTTCCAACCCCTCATTAAAGAAAGTGTATTTTACAGTTGCACAATATTAAATTACTTTAAAGATACTTGGAGTGGATGTTTATCAAGTACCTTAATTCATTAATTCAAGTGAAAAGAAATTCTATGCAAAAACAGAAGTCTAGGCAGGCTAACCAAACCACAAGATATCCTGACAATTTAATGAACAAGCTCCAGCGCTTAAAAAAGCAGTGGATCTGCCATAGACAATCCATCAGTTTGTACCCTGCTTCCTGCTGAGTTAATGTGAGCTAAATTAGTATTTTGCTTAAATTTACACTCTTCTAAGTTGAAAAACATGTTCTTTTAGGATGTGTTTACTAGACAGCAAGAAGAGGTCTCCAACCACTGCAGCAAAGAAAGCCAAGCAATTCCTACATGATTTTAATTCTTGTAAAAGCTTTTCAAGCTACTTGAGAAAAGGGACACTAGAATATATACCTCACAAATATATACAAATAATAAATACATACACACAGAAAACAGATTTGGAATCAGTTTTAGATTGTTAGTGGCTGCTTTTTTAATAATTACCAAGAGAATACCCCCAAAAGATGAAATAAGGCATGAAATACATGAAAATGCAATCTGATCTTCATGCAAAATGCACCCTTATAACATGCAACTCTTTAATTAATTTTGTATTTAATAATACACTGGCTAACAACACTAAGAAACAATGCTTAATGGAAGTTTATTTGGAACATGACCTTTGTGGCTGGCTCTGTATTAGCCTCTGTTCTGCAAGTTTAATGATTTTTCTTTTCTACATGTGACAGCTAGTAACAAGAATCCTGCCTTCAGGACATTTCACAAAATATGTTTGCTCTAGTGATGCAATGCTTGTAGTTTTGATACTGCTGAGGAGCTTCACAAAGAAGAGCTTTCTAAGAAACCATATGAGCAGTCAACAAATCTGTGTTAGTCAAATGTAACGCTCAGAGTTCATAATTTTTTTTTACTTCGTTTCAGAACTCAAACTCTCTCTTCAAACATACATTTCACCTCAGATTCAATGGTTGCTATTGTTAGTCTCACCACTTCTCATCCTAAGCATATGGAGATTTAGCAATTCTTGAAAAATTATTCAGTAATTTAAAATTAATCTCATTATTTAAAAAAAGTTGGGGTTTTTTTCAAAATCACTTCTGCAAAACATCTACATTTTTCAATATGTAAATGGCTCTAGAGGTGTGAAGGAAATGTCTTTAATATACAGTGCTGATAAGCAACAGAAACCTGAGTTCAAAAACTTGCTTCCTTAAAAGAAGCAACAGCTGCCACACAGACATAAGTGAGATTTAAGGGAAAGAGAAGGGGAAAAAAAAAAAAAAGAAAAAACAGGAAGAAAGAAAAAGGGGAAAATATTCCTCTTGTCTGTGTCATCAATTTACTAAAATGGATTAGTAGAAATAATATTGTTTGCTCTTTTTTTCTTTTTCTTTTTCTTTTTTTTATGGCACATTTTGTTAAATCAAAACTCCAGTTCCCCTACACTAATATTTAATACCAAGGAGAGGTGGGGAGGAATGAATTTATTTAAGCATGTTAAAAAAAAATTACATAAAA